TTTTGCTTACTCTGGTTTGAAAATATTCCCAACAAAGCCGCCTTAAAATACTGTTATCTTTCTGCAACTGTGCTCAAGTGCTTTCTTTTGCGGCAAAGTGCTTGTTTATATTGGTTTGGCTTTTTTTCATGACGAGAAAGATCTCAAGTAATGAATTGGCAGCTGCTTTCTCCTCTTTTAAATCCCTATTGCTGTTTGACCCCCATTGTAAGGAGGGGCGTGCTGCTTCTTATAAGGAGTTCAACAAAGATGCTTTAAGAGGACTGATGTGCTGTCCCTCTGTCATCCTTTCTTGACAGGTAAGTATAGTGTGGTTTCTAGCTGTGATTGAGCTATCAGGACGACATCACGTGCTCCTTAAGTATCTTTGTGAAGACTGCTGTCTAGTCTTACGTGAAGGTTGCTGAATGTCAAATCCTGCAGAGATGAAAATCAGATGTATTTTTAGGAGGCTGCAAGAGAGAAAAATCCATGTGTGGCTACAAGGCTGCCTTCCTGCCCTGCCTGTGCCCCATCTTCACTGGGATGCTGCCTTCGTCTCAACACATCACCTCATCCTTGGACTTGGCATCACTTCTGGTGGCTCAGGGTAACACCCTTGAAGGATGGCAAGACTGTGCCTGTGCCAAGGCTTTCTGGAGATGCATCTCTCTCTCCACTAACAAATAAACACAATATTCACCAGTAGTTTCCCTATAATCAATCTTTTTTTTTGAACTCTGGTAAAAGATGGAATTTTCAGCATTCCTCTATCTCTGTTTTTAAGGCCGGGCGTGTGAACTTCGGCTTCATTGTTTAGTTTTATTTTAGTTGACAATAGTTTCTGCAACTTTATGATATTCTTTCTTTATGACACATGAAGAAGACTGGAAGACGTGGATTTAGTTCTAGTGTTCATTCTGTCTTGGCTTTCATCTCAGCTATATCTGTAATGTCCGGATGGTTTTTCTGGATGACTCACTTCAGATCTGAAGAAGTGAATTATGATCTTTCTCTCAGCCCTTACTGAGAGGGAGCCTGGTGAATCTTTAATGATGACACTCTTTTCCTCAAGGCTTCCTTAGGTATTTGAATTTAAAAAGTCACAAGAATACTTAAACAAATCTAATGTTTTAAACAGAATAAAGTACAAATGAATTCCTCTAAGTTGTTTTTAATGATATGGTTTAACTGTTGATAACTTACAGCATAAATAAGACATAGAAGGAGAAGCAAGCTTAAAAAAAAGTTTTCGGTGATGCCAAAGACATTATATTAGCTGAGTGATTGCTCTGATCCCTGACCTTGCAGCCAAGCCATCAATGTCCATCAACTCCCAGGTCACAAGTGGAGAATTTGAGCATTTTTGGTTAATCTGGAGTGCTAATGCGTGGCCTGTGGGGACTTTGGCTGCTGTGGACCTGGGAGGGAGCCCGACTCCCCTAAAGGCCTCTTAGATGGTGAGCTAAGGACCAACAAAAAATAATATTTTTTGGTATATTGGAGAAGTTTTCCCCTTTTCCTACCGGTGTATTTGTTCTGTGATGCTGTTTTATGGTGTTTGGAGGGAAGCTCTGGGAGGTTCCTGGAGCCTGAGGTGATGCTAGTGGCTCAGAGGAGATGGCAGACCTGGTGAGTGTGGAGTAAGCAGGACGTGGAGCAGATGTGCATTTGGAATTTGTCAGCGTACGCATGGTAAATCAAAGAAATATGCAACTTTCATGACCAAATCCAGAGATGAGGCCAGGGCTGGTGGGCTAAAGTCGTTCCTGCTCTGGATGTCACCAAGTAAACCCCCCAGCACGTCTGTCTGTGTGTGTTTGGCAAAGACCTGAAACACCAGCAAAATAACAATACCCGTGCACTGTTTTCACGCGTACCTCGAGTTTTGTACAAACCCCCAGCTGGCTACAAACTGGGCTACCTTGTGCATGCCAAATATTCGCGGTACCCTCACCTTTGCAATCTATCTGTGTTTTAGCAAGCTGATTTACAAGTACATCTTTTCTGAATCATTATCTGAGCCGGCTGCCAATTGGCCCAAGGCAGACATCCAGGCACTCGAGACTGGGAGAATCGGTTCCAGCTGCACTCCGTAATTAGGAAAACCCTGGTCTGTAGCCGGATGTCCAGATGCTTTGCCAAGGAGCGTATCGTTTGGTTCAACAAACAGTGCTTGTGAGAGGAGAAAAAAAATAAAATAGAAAAAAAGTGAAGTATAATAGGACAAAGTTCATATGTCAGGAGTTGCTCCTCTTATTCCTCATCGCATCTCCTGCTTGTGAGCTGGAGAAGTGGGTCTCGGTGGGAAAGGAAGGTCTGGAGAGGTTAAACAAATCCTTGGGATTTCAGCTTGGTTAGAAATAAGTTTCTCATACTCCCCACAGAGACGGAAAGTATTTGAAATGCCATTTCTTTCATGCCTTCGCACCAGGGAAAAACTGAACTTTGCATTTCGTTGTGTAACAAGAGTTACAGAGCAATCTGTTTTGTCAGCAATGAGAATTTGTCTGAAAACTCTGTATGTGACACATCTCGGCTATACCTTTGTGCTCCTTGAAGTGTCTTCATTTCAAACAAAGACTCAAGCTCTTTTGCAAGGTTTGAGGTTTTGGTTTTTTTTTTGTCTTGTTCTGTTGACATGAATTAACAAATGTGAATCTTCTGAGAATAGATTTAATAATATCATGAAAAATACCAGAGCTTTTGCCACCAATGCCATTTAATCTTTCTCAGCAACTAGATTAAATGACTTGCCAAAAGTTTGTTTTCCAGCAATAGGATTCCAATAGTAATAAAAGAATGTCATTGCACAGGATATGGTACCAAATGCAATGCAAAGCTCCACTCTGAATGATTTAGCAAAGAAAATAAATATTTCCCCCTCTTCTTCTTCCCATCTCACTTCTTCCTATCTCTTCTTCTTCAGAAACAACTACTTTTTTGAAGTTAGGCAAGAAAGAATTAACCAGTCTATTCCAAGTTCTTAGCTATGGGTTATTGCTAATCACAGGAGGTCACTCTGGTAAAAATAACTTACCTGTTGTATGTAATCTACAGTGTGGGCTTTGACAACTTGTTTTTGTTTGACCCTGTAGTACTCAGTCTTTCTCTTGTGCTGAAAATACATTTGAATGAAATTCGTGAAAAGGCCATCTGGCAAGCCATGCCTGTCTGGATCTGATTTATCTCCAGCCAGCCTTCTGGATTTCCTTGTGTGCTGGTTGACATTCACAAGTTGATGTTCTATTCTAGCTTTTCAGCTTGATCTGAGACAACAGTGGTTTTCTTACTGTAAAGTGTTTGAGGAATATATTCATAACTTAGTAGAAGTTGTTGCCTTAATTGCCTCTTTTTTTTTTTTAAAATCCAACAATCCGAGGTGTTTTTTCTTCATCCTTCTCTGCAAGTCATTCCCTAGTTAGATGTTTTAAAAAGTAAAGAAGACAGCATCTGAAGCAGCTTTTCATTATGAAAGTGTTCCCATGTAATTCATCAGAGTACTACTAACACTAAAAATCACCTTTCCACAAGGCTCAGTTTCCCCTATCCCACTTGTGGGTGCAGGTAGATTTTGTCCTTCACTGCAAGGGCAGCAGCTCCTCCTCTCTGGGTACCACAGCAGGGTGGGCAGCTGGCTTCAAGGGCACCTCCATGCTTTGTGCCAGCAGTTACCATGATCCAGGTAGATCAGGTTCGCTGCATTTTCACTGGTTGCAACTGTGCTTTATTTCTTTGCCAACAAATGTGTAGTGAGCCCTCTGCTCCGGCTATTTTCTGGATTCTGTGTTGTTTCATACTGTGGCTAATGAGTCCAGCTGTTTTCTCAGTTGCTCATGACTTTCTGTTGTTCAATGACAAAAACAAACCTTTTTTTTTTTAATGCCAGCTATGAAACTACACAGTAGCATTGGCATCTTGGAGCTGTAACAGTAAAGTATTAAAATATACTTCAGTATGCTTTATCAAGGCAGAAGATTCACCAAGCATCCTGTTAGTGTTTTGAGATTACTCTTCCATGGTGAGACTTAAGGAGATCTCTCGATGGGGTACAGACCTGATACCTTCTTCCTTCTTCCATTCCGCTCCTTAGCTGCACGTAAAGAGATGAAGCCTGCTATGGTGCTTTAATGAACACTTCTTAAAGTAGAGCTCATTTATACTCCCTTGTTAATACAACGTTACATGTAAACTGTGATACTGTTTAGTAAAAACTTACCAACTTCTGTGGCAAGCTGTCTAAATGAAAGGAAAAAAAAAAAAAACCACAAAAGGACTTACCAGTGGTATGAGTTATTGCTACAAAGCAACAGCCAGTCATGTCAAGAGATTTCAGTCCACACAGAATTTTTGAAAATTAATTTTGGATGCTTGTTACAAAATAGAAAGTAACGTAATTTCTGGCAGAACTGTTGACAGCAGACGTAATGCATCATTGCAATAGCCCAGACTCTGTGTTAGATGGAAATTAGCTCTGTGTAAAAAGCTGCAGACAGAAAACAAAAGACGGCAAAATTGGAGACCGATGTACTGATGTACACTGAACCAGAAAAGTTATGATGTAGTAGAATTGTGAATATGATTTAAAAATCACTGTAATTCTTTAAATATGAAGGTGACTTAGTTCTAATGGAATGAAGCTCGTAGCATCCAGCCCATTCCCACGCTCATTCATGCTCCCAGTTCTGCCAACTGCACAAAAGTGACGTTGGTTGAGACCCACATTTCCCATCTTCTCCGAATCCTCCATGCTCATGCCTGAAGCCACAGAAATCAAAAGCAGGGATGTTCAAGCTTCAGATCAGCCCTGAATCCACCTTGAGACTGCCCCCAAACACATCTTTGTGCCAGGATCACCGGGGTGTTCCAAGTGCCTCCTCTTGGGAAGAGGGAGCAACGGGATCATTTGCAGCAGCATTTTCCCTCCTTCTTGCACTCTATTTTAAACCATGTTTTTCTAACTCATCTTCTCCAGGACACTGAAAATAATGTTACTTTCTCTGCCTGTTTTTTTCCCCCAGGAGTGACCCAGAAGCAAAGGGGCACTGACGGTCAGAGGACACATCGAAGCCTTTGTTGGGAGAGTGCTGCAGAGAGAAAATCGAGCTCCACCAAGGTAAAATTACGCTTAGATAACAGTCAGCAGAATGCATTCTTTAAAAAACAATCGCTGATTGCTGAGCAGTGTGTTTGGATTGATTTTGTTTAGCTAGGCTTAGCTTAGGCAGCAGAAAAGCTGAATAAAATGATGCCTGAACGTTGTGATTCTACATGCTCTTGATGACAGGCAAAAAACTACATGTTTCATGGGGGGGGAAAGTAAGTTGTTAAAAACACCCCAGGAGACTAAATCTAGTGGTATCCCAAATATCAGTACACTGTGTCTCAGATATTCTCAAGATAAAGCCTGAGATTTTCAGTTCACCGCAATTACTTTGTGTAGAGTGCTTATTTTTTTTCACAAGATGCAGTGAAGCTTGAAAGCTTACAATGAGCATAGGATCAGCTGGACAAACCTTAAAGATCCATTTCTTTGCCCAAGATTAGGAGGAGGGAATAATACATATAGTCAAGCAGAAAAAGGAAAAGTAAATTATTTAAAACATTGGTGCATGAGTTTAAAGCTAATCAGGAATGGTTCTGACATGACTTTGGACTCTTGTAGGATGTCTCCATCTGTGCAGCCATTAACAAAAGAAATAAATGTTGAATTAGCTACTGGAGCATGAGAGATGCATCCAAAATAAAGTGTCTCAAAGAGCATTCTTCCTTGGTGCCCTGTAGATATCTTAGAGAAGAGTTTTGGAAGGCATGCAAAGGTGTTAAATCTGTAGGTAGAAACAAAAACAGTGTAGAAAATATGAGGCAAATGTTGTTACAAAGCATGAAAGAAACAAAGAAGGAAGAAAATGCTTTCCCTGGGGCTGTGAAATTATTGAATTGTCAAAACCACAGGCAGCTGGTTGAAAGACTTGATAAAATTTACTCGGCATTTCACCTCATTAATAAACTCTTTATCTACCTCTACCCATTTGGGATGCCAAATCAGCCTTCTCAAAAGTTACAAAGGAGCCTGTTTTCTGCCTTGTTTCCGTGCACAGAGGGCAGGAGCGCAGGAATGGTTCTCCCCATGGGCTTCGGTGCAGTGCCCAGCTGTTACACTCAAGCCCTGAGAAGGGTGACCGTGGCTCCCGAGAGGTCACAAGCCTGTCACTCACAGAGTCTTCCTTGAGGAAGAAGAATATTATGTTTTGTGAAACACTTGTCAAGTACCAGCGTTGATTATCAGATGATAGACACTGAGATACGGCTGAGATGAATTCATAACGAGCAGGAGCAGTACAGGCACCTAAAGACCAAATGAGCTGGGATGAGCTTTCATTACAAAGCTAATCCTCAGATTTTGTGTGCTATTTCAGTGGGTTTCTTTCCTATTAGGATCAGGAGATCTAGGAACACAGGGCAGGAGCAATCTAATAACCCCATTTATAGCAGTGATTAGATTAGGCCAGATGCTTTATTGCGTGTGACTTATGTGGCCAGCCATGCGCATAATAACAGCAGGAGATTTTAAACTCAGGTTTACTCTTTGTCACATAGCTTTAATGTAAAATCAGCTCCTTTGTCACATCGATTGATTTATTGTACTGTTTATCAAGATAGATGTTTACTGTCATGACTGGAAAAATGAATCTGGGCCACTGTCAATCGATCTTGGACATATGTGTGTCTGTGCCATTGACAGGTGCCACCAAGCAATCAAAAGCGCGAGAGAACTGATAAATTAAAATAGTATCCAGAACCTTTATAAGTAATTCTATCATTTTTGTGGAAAAGACCATGGAGAAGTTTTTCTATGCTTACAACTGGTGGGGGGTTGTAGAACAGTCATGACCCTGGTGCCCACATGTCCTCTGCAGCATGTGATGGCACACAAAGACCTTCAGGCTAATGATCCGTAATATATTTAAATTAATTTTAAATTCCAGCAGGCAGTCCTGAAAGAGCAGTTTAGAGACAGAAACTGATAATTGCCTTTGACACGTCCATTTTTAAACAAACATAGCAGCCACAAATCCCAACTGCAACGATTGGTTAAATACTGAAGATAAGAGCAGAGAGTACACATTTTTAACTTTATTCCTCTGGTACAAAAAAATATTAATGTTTTCACCAAAGTCTCCCAGACAGTTCAGAGCTGGTTTCAAGAGCGTGTCTTTTTAAATGACAAAAAAGTTAGTATGAATAGAATGTTAACAAGAAATCTCGAACAAAACTGTCTGGTTTGATAGATGGTAGGTGAGAAACAGTTCCATATAGCACGATAGGGTATGCTGATAACTTGAATCTTTTCATTTGCAGGAATCTCTGTCATCGCAAAACACAACATTGATTTCACCAGTAGTGATTTCACAGATGATTGATGAGAATAAATCAACAGAAAATTGGCTGGCTTCGTCTATGCAGTCTATGATCCCCCAGCCCCATGCTCATCACACAAAGCAATCTTTGGCTCGCCGTGGTTCCGTCGACATTAACAGAGCATTTAAGGCACCTCCCAGCAGATTAGAAATTCAGTCCTCTTTAGGTGACACCACTTCTCCATTGGACTCTTCCGTCTCAGAGGAAAACCAGCATCAAAAGAAAGGGTTTGCCTTCATAACCGTTACGGCCAGACGTGTTGCCGCAGGCTCCGGCGACCCAGCGCATGGACCTGGTGCTGTGCAAGAGGCCGATGTGGCGTCCCCCGCCTCGAGCAAGGTGCCTACTGCCCTCTGTCACTGGCCTCCACCAGACCACGCAAACCAACACCTCTCTCCCTTGAAGAGTTATTCCGAGTCTTTCTCACCATTAGGTCAAGAGCCCCCAAAGCGACTTTTTGACCCTGGGAACAAGGAGAGCAGCGTGGGTCTTGGTAAAAGTGATGGGAGGGAGAAAGTACCACCTTCATTCACCTCACGTGTCCACCTTCAGGTTTCTCAGCAATGTCCACACACTATCTATTATTTAGACAAGTCACTCAGTGTGTGCCTTGACCAACCTCAAATTAAACGCCAAAAAATTCATAGATCAGCGTTGTCCTTCAAAATAAATTGCAGTTCGTCTAGATTAACAGCAGATGGAGTAGATGGCATAGCTAATGGAGAGCCAATAGAGGAGATATTTCAAACAAAGCTCCTAGGAAAAAACAAGACTCCACTCACATCAAACTTGAGTGCAGACGTAACAGAAAATAATATAATTAATAAATGGAAAACCTATGAAGGCTATTTGGGTAGTAAATACCCTTTGCAAAGTGTCTTTGTCTCTGAACTTCCAGCATCTGTGGGTATACCCAGAGGACCTAATAATGTAGCAACAACAAAAAAGGACAAAGAGAAGCAGTCTGGCGGCTATCATATGACATTTTCTCTCCAACTTCCTAATTCAAGTGATGAGGCAGGTAAGTAATTTCCATAAACTTCAGTCTGGTGGAGCAGAGCTTCAGGCGGGAGCAGACCCACCACAATGATTTTATGTGACCGGATAATAGTCATCCTTGCTCCTGCAGAGGCACAGTGAGTCAGAGCACAGCACAGACATTTTCAGTTCCAGGACTACCATGAATATATTTGCCATGCGAGTGATGCACACTTCTCATCAGATAACAGAGAAAACTCTGCCTGTGTTTTCTGCATTAAGTTTAAATTTTTAACTGTTTGTAACCGGAGTTTTTTTTTGTCTTCCAACAATATGCAAGCTCTTAGCCCCCTGAAAAAGTCTTTATTTGCAATAAGGGCTGAATTTCAAGGTGTGGGCTTAAACAGGAAATGGTTGCACCAAGCTTAGTTTTGTGCTCCTTGCAATTAAAAATGGTCTTGTTTTCAGCTTTTATTTAGAAGGCCACAGTGATAAGTCTGGGTTTTTATAACTAATGGCTCCAGTTAAATTGTTTACAAATCTTTAAGACATTTGTTTGAAGCATCTCCAAGCATAACGGGTCTTTTTGCAGCATTGCCCTCGGAGAAGGGGAAAGAGAAGGTACCGTGGGAGCTGCTTCATGCCCAGAGTGGTAGAGCTGCTGCTGCGGACTGGAGCAGCTATTTCAAAGAGCTTGTGAACAACCACTGTTGAGTTTATTGACTCTCCGGGAAGGGAGTGTGGATGGCAAGAAAGTCAATGAGTGAGTCTGTTTTTTAGCAAAAGCGCTACGGTTAAAACTTGCCCGCCATGTACCCTGTGACCTTGGGCTGCATTTAATTACCTCATTCTTTACATGGCCTTTTTGATCTAAGGGTCAGTACATGGACGTAAGAAACTTCCTAAGATTCATTTGTACCTCCAACTTCCCAGTGTATGAATGGCAAGAAGGAGAAGGATGAGAAGCCGTGTGCTGCCCCGTGGGCTGGGCAAGGTGGAAACCTCAGGCTGTCCCTGCCCTTTGCACTTTGCTGTTACTGCTGCTCTCCCTTCCCCATCCCTGAAATCGATGGGATGGCTCTCACGGTTATCCAGGCGCAGAGTGAGAAGGCACTTCTTTCCTCAGAGGCCATTAAGAAAATTACTTGCACAGCCAGGATTTTCCACAGAGAAACTGGGGAGTCAGTAATTTTAACGAAAGCCATGTGGGTCCAGAGGGTGAAGCACCCCTCAGTCTGGCTGCTGAAGAAAGCCTGAGATAAAAGTTTTCTTTATAAGTGTGATCCAGGGTATTTGTGGTTGGAGGGGAGCTGGTGCAGTGAGGAGCAGGAGAAGGAAGATGCCAACAAGCGCTAAAGAGTTTGGGGTAAGAAATGTAAAAGGGTGAGGGCTGATGAGGACCTTCTGCTGACTGACACCAGTGAATTAAGTGTTTAAGCTTTGGACTTTGTTGTATACCATTCTAAGTTCAAATAACAACGTTCTCCTGGCGTTTCCATAGGAAGGACTGTGTATTCCAGGCTTTGTTCAACACTGTCCAAGTTCTTTCTGTGATATACCACAGAAACAAAGGTGAGAATAATATTGGCTTGGTGATCAAGTGGTGGCCGTGAAAGAATTGCTTTTACTAGAAGTAATTAGAAAGTGAAATAGGACACTGTTCACAGTTGCTCAGTTTTAGTGAAAAGAGGAAATAAATGAGGTAACCAACTGAGAAATACTGTTGTTGTTCTTTAAAATTACTTCCACCGTTTGTGTACACAAGAATACAGGTGTAAATAAACATAGGAAGTGTTACCTTTTCAACTGCTTCCACCTTTTGTGTGGGCAATAATGTAGAATGTAAAGATATATATTTCTCTTGGTCAGACCCTTTGTAGTATATAAGAAGGTGTTTATCAGCCTGCTACAACTTTCCTGTGTGAAATTTGTAGAAACAGCCAGAATAAGGCTCCGAAACAACAGTCTTTCTCACCAGGATCCCCAAAGGAATGAGCTCTTGCGTAGTGTCAGCCATTAAATGTGACAAATCATAAGAAACCTACTTAAATGAATGAGACATCCCCACTACTCATTACAATTAGAGGCAGTTGGTATGATTTTAACCTGAGAGAAAAGGAAAAAGGGAGTTCCTTTGGCTTCTGAAAATGAGCGAAGCAAGGGAGAAAAACAATCTTTTAGGTCAAAATCTGACAAAGTCCTACAGCCTGGCATGTGTTTTTTTGTTTCCCTGGACTAGTTTTAAATATCTAAAGAAAGCTACAGCGGGACACTGTTGCATTCCTGTTTTTTTGCTGTGGCACTTCTGTGTGTACGGCTCAAAACTACAACACCTGTATTGCAAGATGCTACTTTACAGTGAAATATCTATTCCAGTGGCCAAGTCCTCTATACCATTATGGAATACCAATGCTTTTAGATATTTTTTTCCTCCCATGTTTACTAGTTCAAATCCATCCATGTTAAGTTTTGGTCTGCTATGTGTTTATACAATTAAATGTTTGTGATACTAAATATCTAAAAAACAGAGAAGGGGCAATGAACAGTTTCTGACTGTGTAAATACTTCAGCTTGAGGATCTTACGGATTAAGGAACTGCGGTGAGTGCTTTGTCCATCACATTTCCGATGACCCAGAAAGCTTGAGCTTATATTAGTTTGTAGCTGTAGGCAATAGCTTCCTGCCAGTAGAAATACAAATGGTAATAACATCACCATGGAAAAAAAAAAATTACTTGCAAGGCTAGACTTTGCTGTATGAGATCTGTAAATGTAGTTTCCAGGATGTATAGGCTCTGCCTTATTAGAATCTGAAGTGGAATGTGCACCCAAATACTCTTCTGCTTTGCAGGTACTGGGGCCAAGTTTGCTGTTTCCTATAGGGCTGGTTGAGTCACAGCCCCTCTGGAGTGTCTTTTTTTAAAAATCTTCATGTGGCTTCTCTAAAGTAATGATGACTCTACTTATAGTATTACTCACACTATTTCATGTTCAAATCCAAGTATTCAACACTTGGCTTTACATGGACCTGGATAACCTGCTCTAAAGCCCTGCTTTACGCAGGAGGTTGGTCCAGAAGATCTCCAGAGGTATAGACTTTCACAATGTGCCACATATGAAAAGGATATTTTAGGAATATTAATGAAACATAAATCTTGGGCTATGCTTACAGATGGCAATTATACTTGGAAATCCAGGTCTCTCAGACTCAGTGTTCAAAGCCATGTTTCATGCTATAGTATCCAAGGACGGAATATGATCTTGTGATTTCACCACTATGGAGTGTATCTTCTACTGGCTTCATTGCTTTGGGTACTTTACTTTCATTATCTGGCAAGAAATTGGGCTGAAAGTGCTGGAAAATCCATGTTACACTTGAAGTCAGATTTGAACTGCAGGAGGACATAGAGTCATAGGACAAAACTGTGTTTGTTTTTAACAAGAGGCCGGCATTTAATCCCTTGGGCAGCTTAAGAAATGTATACCCCTTAATGTGAAATGGCCCACTGAGAGCCACAGAGATATGACCAAGGGTAAGCTCAGGCCAAGCTCCATGAGGTCCTTGTCATGGGTGATCGATGTGCATCACCCTGCCTTCCATCACAGCTTTTAACAAGCTGTCAGAACTTGCTAACGCTGCTTTTAAGTGAATGCTGCAATTTCCTTTACTGTCTGTAGGAAATGTCTCATAAATACAAGGGAAGTTAAAAAATTAAAAGATTAGTCTTGTTACTGCTGAAGACAGCAACATTTTTAATCTTAATTTCTCCTCTACCTTTCATGAAGAATGTATTCCACATGAATATCTAGTTTTCCATCTGTCTTTTAGAATCTGTTACCTACTGGGCTCTATGCTAAACTATTAAAAAGGGGCAAAGAGAAGAAAGTGAAACAACTTTAAATTCATTTTGACCTCTCGATTAAACAGCATCATCACTTTACTATGAAAGATTATAAATATCAACACCTATGTTCAAGCTTAGATAGTCGTAAATGTCTTGATGCCTGAGCACCTTCACAAACCTCGGTGATGCTATAAACCAAAATACTTCCAGCTAACGCTTCAGCTTTCATAGTGTATACACTTTCGTTTTCCTTTTGTTTTTACGCCCCAAACTGCTGTGCAGAGTTATTAAGGAAGAACAGCTGAGGTGGAGAGGAATGGAAATGGGGTTTGCATGATGGGTGCTGTGCTGGCTCCCTCAGCCCTACGCTGAGATAAGGAAGATGCAGTGGATGCTCAGGGAAGATGGGGGCAGGTGATGAAAAGGCACCTCATGGATCACATGTAGAACATCCAAAAGTAGGGAAATCAGGATTATGAGGTATGCATGAGTCGGCATTGGAAGGGCAGTGTGAAGCAGTGGTGCTGGCTGTGACCAAGGGTGTGAACATGGGCACTGCTGCGCCCCTTCTCCTGCAGAGTTCAGGAGTAAAGTGCTCAGGAAGGGGAAGAACATGTTTAAGTCAGTGAGCAAGATAGAACAGAAAGCTGGCGCTGTAGATGCTCATATGTTTTTCCCCAAGAGAACAGCAGGTGACTTGAAAGTATAATTTACTTATTTAAAGCAACCCAAAAGAGTGAATGAGGAAAACTGAGATGGGAACTAGGCTTTTGGGGTGCTGGGTGGCCCCCAGTGATTATGCTCTTCGGTTTCCTCCTCAAACAAAAGTTTTGTTAACAAGTTCTGAAGTCAGCAGTGTGTTTTCTAAGGGGTAAATAACTAAGTGATTTTTTTCAAGAGCAATTTTCTTTATGTAGTGTGCATATCTGTGTATATATATACTTGTGCTGGAGTAAAATCAGAACAGCTGGTGCTAGAGGATTTTGGTGTGCTGCTACCTGCAAAGCAAAAGAAAATGTTTTCATTTTAAACACATTGAAACCCCCTGCTACTTGGGACGTTTGCATATCGAGAAAATATTTGTAGCTCACCTTTAACTAGCACATACTCATGATAATCAGGATGGGCTAATAATGTGTGCAATGTTAAGACTGAAGGCTATTGAACTATTTACTTTCAATTATTAAGTAATATTTGAA